AGATCCTAGTCTACCTCTCAAATCCTCTGTCGCTGGGACGTACTCAGGCGTGTCCAACCTATGAGGTCTCCTCTCGAGTGTCTCTCCTGGCGCTGTCATGGGCCGCTTCTCAATCTCGTCTGGTCCATACTTAGGCGTGCCTATCCTCTGGAGTCTGCCCTCGATGGCACCCTCCTCCTCAATCCCCATCTCTCTCTCAAGAGGCTCCTCTATCCTCTGCTCAGGTGAAAACAAACTCACCTCCTCCTGCAGAGTATGCACCGCCTCAAGGAGCACGCCCATGGATTCCTCTGCTGAGCCCTGAGCCGGCTCACTGCTAGATGGTGGCAGCCCCTCCTCTACTGTCAAGGGAACGACTGGGCCTGCCGCCGCCACTGGCAGCGTCGCGAGCTCAGTAGGGGCTCTAAACTCGAACGCCTTTTTCTCTGCCTGTCTCTGGGCTCTCGCCTCCTCTGGCTCCAGGATAGCTCTCCCCATAGGTGGCTCCTGGCGGGGCTCTGCTGCAAATGGCTGTCCTAGCAATCCTTGTCCCGGCTGCCTCTGCTCTCCCTGCCCGCTGCTCTCTGGCATGTCCACCCTTCCCTGGGTTTGCTGCCTCAGGCTCTCGATGATAGCTGCCTGGCTGGCCACCAAGGCCCTGAGTTCCTGAATTTCCATTTCCATAGCCTCCAAGCGTACTCCATGGCTGGCTTCCTTCATTTTCTTCCCCGCCAGATCGCCCTCCAATAACAAGTGCCGGTCAAAAGTGGTCTTGGCCAGGAACTTGATTTTACGATCTAACCTCTCTTCCGCCTTTCTGGCCACTCCAAACCCGGTTCTGACTGGCGATGAAAGTTCCTCTCCTCTTTGCTCCCAGAAGTCTCTCCACATCTCAGGAATCTCCGGAGCCCTAACTGGTGCGCTGGGTGGCTGACCCGGGAGTGCTCCTGCTACCTCTGATCGCTGCCCCTCCTGTTGCTGCTCCGGGAGCTCCCCCGCTGCCTCCAATCGCTGTCTCTCCTACCATATCTCATTTATCCGTCTTGTTTTTCTCGCCCTCTTTTCTTCAGCCATCTCTCCAGCTGGCGCCCCTTCCCTTGTGCGGAGGTCGACCCTCTTCGGGATTTCTGCTTCCATCTCCCTCTCGGGTTGGTACGGCTCCCGGGGCGGCTCAGCAGGTGCTGGTTCCTCCAGGTCTGGATGCTCCAGGGCATAAGYTGCTAGGTGCCTATCAATCAAAGTCAAAGCTTCCCTCCTTACAGCTGCCCT